TTATTCTGGTATATTTGATTGATAGAAGAGGAACAAAAAATTTTCATTCATAATCATTCCAGAACAAAACGTTATTTTATACAGATCTTGGTAAAAGGAAATTATCAACAAGACTTTTTTTCATTTCTATTTTTTGAAAAATAGTTTTCCTGTGTTAATCTCGAATGGTTATTTATAAAATCAATTAATAATTTATTTAGCAACATTAGAATTCGTCAAATGAAATATTTTAACATGTTCAACGCCATATAGCTGTGAAAAAATCTTTTGTCTAGATAAATCATGAATAAATAGTATTCATGCATATAATCTCTCAGATTACTTTGCATGAATTGAACTAGAAAACCTAAAGCCTTTTTCTACTAGATGTCTTATGTTTCGAATTTTTTCTAGAGCAACACTAGTAAATTTTAAAAAAGTCTAATAAGATTATGTAAGACATTCTATTATCTCATCAGTTTTTATTGAAATCTATACTGAAAAGATCTTCAAAAATGATTAAACTATTTGAAAGAAAGTTTATTATATAGAGAGGATATGAATATCACTATGTGTCTTCTCTTGGCTCGAACCTAGAGACTCACAGTTACACCTTTTGACAAGATTTGTAGAGATAAATAGATCTACTTACAGAACCAAAGTGCTGTGCTTTTCAATTTGTTGATTTCTTCTTGAAGGATTGTAATTTGCTTGCAAACAGATGCTGTTCCATTCTTTTGGGTTTGATTTTCTGATTGAATGTCGCTGATTTGAATCTGTTGCTGTTGTAACTGAGCCTTTTGTTGTTCAATTTCAGTCTTTTGTTGTCCGATTTCTGTCGTTTGCTGTTGTGTTTCTTTTTGGAGCTTTTCTATATCCAAACTTTGGTTTTCAATAACCTTATACAAGATATCGACCATTCGTCCTAATTTTTCGAATAAACACGTTTTCGTGTGTTCATCATGTTCGTTTCTCGATCCAAACCATTGACATCCAATATTCTTCCCTGGACAATCTAATATGCATTCAGGACAGCTTGTCTTTATATGTTCATCAAAGGTTCCTCTATTTATATTTGTTTTCTCGCAAAGCTGGCATCGAACTTTAAGTTTATCGAGCATTGAGATGAAATTGCGTGACGGAGGGATCAAATGGTCAGTACTCAATAATTGATTACACGACTGCGACGGGCAATGAGAACCATTTCTCATATATTTTTCTATACATTGACGACAATAGGTATCGCCACATTGAGTCACAGTTGGATCAATAAAAGGATTATGGCAAAGTAAGCATATAAGATCTGAACCAATGCTCTCTTTATCGATATATTCGTAGAGACTATTTGATATCATCTGAAAATATGAAATGATCAAATTGAAAACAAAAAGAAATTACTTCTTCACCAACTTCAAGTATCTAGTAATTAAACCGACGGCACATTCTGCGTAATGCCATCTCTTTTTTTACGATGCACAATATAAATAATAACATCATCAAAAAATTCGAATAGAATATCTATTCTTAAACTGATCGAATTCGTTCAGAAACTAGATTTACTATACAAAAACTCCAACTCATATATATAGTGACTACATGGCATTATATACTTTCTCACATATATATATATATATAGCATCTAGCTTTGAGTGGTCAGTTTTAAAAAAAGTAATCAGAAATATCTTTTCGTGAATGGTAACACTTGAGAATCAGAATTACTCATATCTGTTAGTCATTGTTGTACAAAACAAGGAGACTACAGCGCGTGGAATTTTTCTATTAAAACGTGAACTTGTATTGAATAAAAATTATAATAACGATAAAAAAAAAGATTAGCAACCACAACCTTAGTTTAGTATATTTGTCTCGTAGTTGCTGACTAGAGCCTGTTGAAATGGTAAAAGAGTGATTTTATTTTTCAAGAATACTTTTTCGAACTCAATTACCTCTCACTTATGTATATTTCTGGACTGTTTCTTATTTACGATTATAGAGTCACAATTATATAACGTTCTTCATGGTCGTGATGATCGTTTTTTGCGAATTTAATATCAGTCATCACATTAACGGGAACTGTCAAGCTGTGCAAGATATCAAAAACGACTATACATAACTTTTTGAATAGACAACTCAGTGTCATAATATAATTAATAAATGACAACAGACAGTCATTATGTAATTTTTGCATAGTATATGCTACTATCGCTGAATAACTGTGGTACAATTCGTTGACTTTTCAGAATTCAGAAAAAACATTCCACAGTTTTATAAACATTAAACATTTTCCCACACATACTATTCAGCTACACTACTAATCTAATCAATCAAATATCTCTTACAAATTTCTAGTTCTTGTCAGCCTTTATTTATGATATTCCATGCAAGACACTGATAGTCAACACTTGCATTGTGTTGATTAGTGCGAATTTATTTATTTTTCTTCGTCCATGGATTAATTTATAATAAACTGATTAGAATATATGTGAAATTATTTTATATCTGCCGAGTTTGTTGTAATAACCACAAGAAAAGTTCAAGAACTATCACGAAAAGTTTGATAATCGTAATACAACAGACAATAGAGAATAAAAGATCGTTCATTGTAAAGTATATGAAAATCTATTTTACTAAAAAAGCAATGTCTCACAAAATTTTAAGCAACTAAAATTGTGTTTTCTCCGCTAGAATAAAGGAACATGAAAGAAAAAGTGAGGAATATGTGATGAATTCGTATGTGGCTGCCCGTCAGGTTAATAATTACTTTAATTATGTTACTGATTATATTCCACTAGGTACTAAAAAATCTTTCAAAGAAAAATACTGAAGAACACATACTGACGAAAACACTATCACTGATTATAGAAACATTTACGATTGAAATCTTACAAAAATTATTTTATCAAATATTGACTAATGAATTAAATATTCTTACATGAATTACCTGTATTTTCTTCCAACATTGACCTATTTCTTTTTGAATATATCAAATTCTAAGAACAGTTCATTGGAGGAAAGATATCAACTATTTCGACAAGGCATGCGTTTATATTTTCGAACTTCTATTTAAATGATCGGATAGATCTCCTTGTCGTATTCAAAAAAGATCAACAATCAATATCACTGTTAAATAGTAAATTTATTCTCATGGAATACATGTTCAACCCGGTGTCACAAATTTCGATAAATTGGCGATCATGCATGTCCCAAAATGTAACTAACAATGGATGTGTTTGTATTGATAAGTAAAAAAATAGATCATCTTTGGATAAAATGAAGGCTCTCGCCGCGAAACTAACAAGGTTAAAATATTAGCTTCCCTTGGCTTGTCTAGAAGGAGATATTCGATTTTTCAGTGAATTTTCTCCACAGGACCGGCTTTCCCAGCAATATCATATTTTCGAATTTGGATCTGAAATTTTGTATGCACGAAGCCCTGAATGAGACTAGTTTACAGAAAAGAATCAGAAGTTTTGGACAAACTCTTCGAGATATAGATGCCTCAAGCACACAGCTTAAATAGAAATCGTCAATATTTTGAGAGATTCATATCTCGAAAAGGGTTTGTCCAAAACTTTTGATTTTTTTCTATAAGCTACACTGATAAAAAAAACGCCGAATAATAAATGTTTAAAGCGTTTATGAAAATGCAACGTATGATATATCCTTTTCTACCGTTTAGCAGCATGCGGTAAACGCTTTTGTCTACCCATCAAAAGATGAAATAAAAAGGGTTATCGTAGCGTTTATACGACGGAACAACTTTAAAAGGGTGTATCATACGTTGCATTTTCATAAACCCTATTGAAGGTGTTAGAGAGTACTCTAACAAGTTATTTATTTATTTATTCTTATTTATTCTTGTTTCGTCTTTATACGTTATGTATTTCTTATATGTACAATCCAACCCGAGATGCACATATGCCAACCGCTCTTTTTCATTCTTTCTTTCCGCTCTCTGCATATCTCTCTATTGTGTCTTCTGTCCTCCCCTGCGTGGCGACGTAAATAATGGTGTCGTTCCTTCGACTGGAATTTAAGTGCATTTAGAGAATGATGCGCCATCATATTCATATACAAAATAGTCTAGGTGAAGAAACAAATGCTTTTTCTTCCTTTGATTCTTTTCTCTCTCTTTCTTGTGTGTGTGTGTGTGTGTGTGAGTGGGCTGTATAGTATAAATAGGAAAAAAAATAAATAACTTGTATTAGAAAATTTTTATTTAATGTCAAAAAATATTAAAACGTTAAATTTCCAATATTTTATTTTAAAAGAAATTAAAGTTCTTTAAATTTATTTTTGAATTTATTTAATTTTTCGTGAACGTAAATGGATCAGTCTTAAGTATAAATTTCGTCGTCAGAATAAATTTTGTTTAATACAAATAGAAAATTTAGCTCTTCAAACATACGGAAGTATAGATCATTCGGATATTCATTACTTTGAAACTGTAAGTTTATCTGGTCGAATCCGCTCTACGGTAGTAAAATCCAAAACGAATTGGAACGCGTTCAGTGCGAACGCAAGTATTCGAATAGAGGAACCAGCAGTCTGAGAACTTATACGAATAGCAAAGGAACACGTTCGAGAGCATTACAGAGTTAAGAATAAAATAAATAAATGATTTTTTTCTTCTAAATAAGAACGTGTTCTTTCCGCGAAAAACGTGTTCCTGTGGAACGATCAGAACGTGTTCCTATGGAACGATCAGAACGCGTTCCTTTTATTTAAAAGAACGCGCTTTTCATTACACAAACGCGCCTGAAAGGGTCGAAAAAAGCGTCTTCACAACGCAGTCTTTTATCTCGACAACGCGTTCTTATCCGTTCTTTTTTTGAATTTTTTTCCATGGGCGGTGTCACAAATTTCGATAAATTGGCGATCATGCATGTCCCAAAATTTAACTAGCAATGGATGTGTTTGTATTGATAAGTAAAAAGATAGGCCATCTTCGGGTCAAATGAAAGCTCTCATCGCGAAACTAACAAGGTTAAAATATTAGCTCCCCTTGGCTTGTCTAGAAGGAGATATTCGATTTTTCAGTGAATTTTCTCCACAGGACCGGTTTTCCCAGCAATATCATATTTTCGAATTTGGATCTGAAATTTTGTATGGATCTAGCCCTGAATGAGACTAGTTTACAGAAAAAAAATCAGAAGTTTTGGACAAACTCTCTTCGAGATATAGATGTCTCAAGCACACAGCTTAAATAGAAATCGTCAATACTTTGAGAGATTCATATCTCGAAACGGGCTTGTCCAAAACTTTTGATTTTTTTCTATAAGCTACACTGATAAAAAAAGCGCCGAATAATAAATGTCTAAAGCGTTTATGAAAATGCAACGTATGATATATCCTTTTCTACCGTTTAGCAGCATGCGATAAACGCTTTTATCTACCCATCAAAAGATGAAATAAAAAGGTTTATCGTAGCGTTTATACGACTGAACAACTTTAAAAGGGTGTATCATACGTTGCATTTTCATAAACCCTATTGAAGGTGTTAGAGAGTACTCTAACAAGTTATTTATTTATTTATTCTTATTTATTCTTGTTTCGTCTTTATACGTTATGTATTTCTTATATGTACAATCCAACTCGAGATGCACATACGCCAACAGCTCTTTTTCATTCTTTCTTTCCTCTCTCTGCGTATCTCTCTATTGTGTCTTCTGTCCTTCCCTGCGTGAGGACATAAATAATGGCATTGTTTCTTCGGCTGGAATTTAAGTGCATTTCGGCGCGGCCACACATCGGACACCTATCCATGAGGAAGGTCCGAATTTAAAAATCGATGAAATTGAATATGTGGATCGAAAGAGCTGTAAGGATAGTACATAGAACTAGTGTCGTCCTCTACAGTGTGCGAGCGTTGTAGTGATATGAGTGTCTTTTTTTCCGTCCAATGGGTTTCTTAGAAAAATTTCTTATCCAGTCATCATAAGTAAACTGTTAATAAGTATTGATATATGAGTTTAATCAAGTTAAAATACACACCGCTATATTAAAGACGACGTGTTCTCTTCGAATATAAGCTTCAAATGAAATTTCAAATATTATATTATTCGATAAAGCGTTCGCAAACCAACTGATTTTTTAATGAAATTTCATAACAAAATCTATTTATAATGTATTTTACTCGCTCATCTCTCAAGCTATTTTGATAAATAACTACATAGTCTGATACCCAGGAGAATAAGTCCTAGCCTAGGATCCGATGAGTTCCGATCGGTTCCTACTGGAATCCGACGGAGCTCTTCGGACGGCGCAAAGAAACTATCGGATTATCGTCGGATTCCTGGTTCCGGAATCGATATCGGATCCTAATAGCGGAAACTAATAAAATCCGACAATAACC